TTACTATGTCTGAACACCTGCCAGTGCTGAGTCGCAGTAAGAGTTGTCTGGGTATGAAAGGCGACTGTTCAGTCATTCTTTACTGCGTTGCAACAATATGTATGCGTTGCAGCATAGTAAACAATGCCAATACGCGACCCGGATATAATTCAATTTCTAATCACCAAAATTAAATTCAAGAAAATTCAAAAATTAGCCTACCCTAATTTGAGTCATATTAATAATTTTTACATATCAATCCCTTTCTGGGAAAATAACTTAGCTAAGAGCATCTCAAAAATTTTTCCTAACAACGTAGATAACATTAAAGTCTCATTCAAATCAATTAATAAATTAAACTTTCATTTAGTCAACACCATAGAAAAAACAAATTTGTTAGACAAGAGTGGAGTGTACAGGTTGCAATGCAGCGATTGCGATGCCAGTTATATTGGCAGTACTTGCAGATCTTTGGGAGTCCGGATAGGCGAGCACATCAAGAGACCGAACACATCTGCATTTGGACATCACTTGAGGCTCAATCAACATAATTTTAGTCCAACAAAAAAACTCCAAATTATTAATCAACTTGAAAACAAAAAATTTCAACATGTTAGATTTCCATTAAGATGTTGAAATTACCCTTGAAAGAGACAACAATATCCTCTGTCTCAACACTCAAGTGAACCTTAACAGAAATGTCATACCACTTCATAGACAACTCAGTTGATCCTCTATGATGATGTACATAGAAAAACTTGAACAGAAGGTTTGATTAATAGGCGGGAATTGTTTCCTTGTTTGTAGTTTATCATATCGCGCTTCACGCGCTGCGAGCAGTAAATAAAAGCCGTTTTTACACCCTTATAATAATTAAAAAATGAATAAATTTTAAAGAAATGAATAATTTTACTAATGCAATATTTTAAATATCACTTTACTATAATATAAAATCAAATACAGGGATAATTGTTATAAATTTATAAAGTTAAAGCTAAATTCGAATATTATGAGGTGGTGTTAATCTGACTTTGCTAATAAATTAGGTTATGTTACACTAAAACATGACAGTCGCAGAAAATGCAGGTGAGTAAAATTTGATTAATCTTATTTTTAATTTAGTTTCAGTTATATTTAAATAATTTATAGGTGTAAAAATATACTGAGGTCATTAACGATGTCATTAACTTATAATAAATTTACATTATCATGTACTGCTCCAAATTGCAAAAACAAATATTATTTACATAAGAATTTTTTTACTTTTCCGTCCATTATTACCCTTAGAGATAAATGGTTTGATATTTTAAATATTCCCTAAACATCTAAAAAAACTATACATGATTGTATTTATCAAAGTCATCCCAAATATGGACACTATTTTTATATTTACACGAACATGTTAATTTTGCATGTTTCACTTGTCGAGAGCATAGATCAGATGTTTTTTTGAAATTATTGAAAATCTGTGTACCTTTCATTCTAAGAAAATATTACAAGGATATTTCACTGGGCCTTTATTTTTTGTTTGTTTTAGTTATTCCTGAGTATGGAGATTTTTGGAATGGATATTGCAACTACAATGGAGTGAAATAGATGGGTAAAAGGATAGTAAAGTGGTTTAGTGCCAGAGTTACCTAACCAACAAAATTTCAAAACAACTGGTCTTTGTATATTGTTTTAAAATCATTTCTATACATGCCAAAGTTCGGTCTGCCAAGTTCCTTTAACACTTTTAACTCCAAACGACCCTTTTAGCGTTCGGTTTAGTCCGATTAGTGACAGTTTAACACGCTTAAATGTCATTTAAAAGCACCCTAAAATTTGTCCCGCTCCAGCCCCTGACTATCCGAACTCGCCTAGTGTATAAACTGAAACATTGAGATCAAAAGTGCCGACGCAGAGTGAGCGATCTGATTCTTTAGCTGTAAACTGTGTCACAGGGTTCAAAATGGCCGCGCCCTATGTTGGGCGTGTCGGACCTCTCTCTTGCCTCGTATAGTAATCAAAGTATGTGCCTAGATAATTTAAAATTTAATATCAACTCATTCGTTGACAGATACAAATCAAAATGAAATCGAACTTTTGTCACAAGCACATACTTTGATTTTCTTTTACTATACGGAGAATGGTCGCACTGCGCAGCTTTCTGAGTGCCTTTTAAAAGGAGATAGAAAACTCCGCCATTTTGAACCCTTATTACGTGTTGCCTACATCTTGGCGCAATATTTTTAATAGGTGCGTTTTAATCATCCGCTTCTGCTTCGGAATTGTCGGTTTTCTTGTTTTAATCTGACAGGTTAAAACGACTAAACCGACAATTCCGGAAGCAGATGCTAATAATTAGACGTACCTGATATTTTGCTTGCTGCTGTCAGTGTCAGTGAATATTATTTTTGAAGTCACAGTTTATTGCTAAAGAATCAGTTAGCTCACTCGGACCAGTTGAATGTTCCAAAATAACATCCACTACAGGGATACAAATTCAGGATACGCAGAAAACTGCCGTTTTATTAGAGGCGGTTGTCATGTATTGTATTATCCGAGTTGCACAGTTAATAAACTGAAACATTGAGATCAAAAGTGCCGACGCAGAGTGAGCGATCTGTTTCTTTAGCTGTAAACTGTGTCACAGGGTTCAAAATGGCCGCGCCCTATGTTGGGCGTGTCGGACCTCTCTCTTGCCTCGTATAGTAATTAAAGTATGTGGTCACAAGGCATAAACGACAAATGACATTTGTGTAGAGATGTTGATGTCAAAATAACGAAAACGGTTCCTTATTCTCGGTAATTGTATAGAGATAATGAGCTAAAGTTTGATTCTTGTTCTGCGAGGAACAGTTATCGGAATACAGAAATAACTTTGTCACAGTTGCTGATTAATAAAATAATGTAAAAAGCTAACTACGTCATTTTGGCACTTCTTCGCAACTGCTTCATCGTACATAAAGAAGTACGATTTTTCTGTGCTTGCTACAAAAATAGTATTCCCAAAGCTGCCGTTTAAAAAAGACGTCTCCACTGGGAACATGGGGAAGGGGCATATTTTGTTGGTAATCAAATGCTAATAACTCAGTTTGATTGTTGCTCATTTTAACCTCTGCTATGTCTTCTTTTAATTTTGTGTGAAAATAGTTTGCTTTTTTTTCATGTACTGCTTTCTCCAATTTTAGATTTTTTTTTACTTTTTCATCTTTTTCTGCAGATAAAAGATTGTCCAGTCTGTCACACATTTGGCATGTATCAGAACGTGGTTTTCCAATAGTTGTAGTTTGTTATAAAATGTCGACAAAAATAGTCATAAGTAACTTGAGGCATTAGTTTTTGATCATTCTGGATAGAGGCATAAATATCTGGTTCGTAATTTTGGAGGTTAAGTTTGTGCATTTTTTCATATTTAGCTCAGGACTCAAATAATATTTATTTTTTGTGAGACTATAGTGAGATATTCTTTTTGGAAAGGACTTAATATGAGAATCTATTTGATGTAATATATTTTCAGGAATCATGTTAGGACGATTGGCATGTTTACCACGCATATTATCTCTAAGGGCAGGAATGTTATCTTGCAAATGTTTTACAATAAGCTCTACTCTTTTCCTACTTATAGCATATAGTGAACAAAAAGCTCTTTTGCATACCCTTTGTTCTGTTGTACTAATTTTTATACGGTATACGCAAAAACAGGAGCGTTTTGACTCGCCACCAGACTTTTACACTTATTTGCCCTCCAATAAAAATATCTTGTCTTTCTTTATCGCCAATATTATTAAAAAAAATTTAAATCTCAAGTTTACTAGGATCGTCAATTTCTTTAAAGCATTTTAATTTGCAGTTACAGTCATTACCTGTTTTTCTTTCTTCTTTTACAAACTTCTTTTTCTTTTCCAAACTTATGTATGATACTCATTCGGCTCTCCTTTTCTTCGCCACGTTTTTTCTTTTTTTTTTTCATGCACTCTCATCTCTAACTCTTTTTTTGCAAAGTTTCTTTCCTCTTTTCGGTTACTTGTGAAATTATATCGTTATCACTGTCACAGTCACTTTTGATCAATGATGAAACCACAGCACTTGAATTAAATAGACGAGAACGCCCAACACTAGGTCCAGGATCGTCCAGACAAAAATCAGGGTCATTGTCCGAATCGTCAACTTGTTCCTCTGGACTGCTACTACTAATTTCAAACACCTAAAATAGTAATATTGTAAATTAATACATTTAAAATAATGCACAGAATGTACTTACAATAATATACCGCGAAATATCGGATTATTCTTACAGAGAACACACGTTCTCTAGACACTTCACACTCTTATGTATTAGAATAACACTAAACAGAAAACACAAATTTGGACAGGGAATGCGAGCGTTTGTTGTTTACAAATTAATTTTGCAGGTGCTGCTTCGAAGCGGCAGAAACATCAACTAAAATTCGATGCAAAAACGAGGCAGCTCCGGATCTGCCTCTTTCTTGCACCGACTGAATGAAGGGGGTATAAATATATTGCATATAACATCCAAACAAACCAACGGACCTGCCTCATTCTTGAACCAATCGACAGAGCCTCTTTTTGTTACTGGTTTCCATTATAAATGTGAAATTCATGCAAAAGTGGAGCTGCCTCCTTTTTGCACCGTAGCCTTTAATTATCTTATAATAAAAATCCATTATTACAAACATTTACGAGTGTGACAAAGTAATTTCTTACCGTAAAATATGCAACTTTTACATTTATTTCAGCAGAAACTTTTTTCCATTAAAATTTGAGGTTTACATTTCGGTTTCGTCAACTTTACACAAGAATGTGTTATTTAATAGTTGATTGGAGTAGTAACCACGTCATTTTTTATTTTATGACAAACATATTAGGTGTGACGCTGCTAAACTGCTGGACCAAAAGGTCAACAATTGGAAAAGGTCTTTTAATTAAGTTGAATTTGAAAAATTCTTGAACGTTAATTAAATAAAAAATATACTCGTGGCCAATTGGCATAATAATAATCTTCTTCTGTATTTAAGATACCAGAAAATATGAGAAACGCTGTAGGAAACGAAGCTAATACAGTATGGAATCCAGTAGAAGAATATGTTGAAAATGGCGTAATTAAAGGATTAATGCATGAAAATTTTAAAAATGGTATTTTTAATAAAGTGCCCATGCTTATTGGTTCTAATTCTGAGGAAGAATTACAATTTGGTAAGAAAGATGTTTACAGTTTTAAGTTTTCGCAACTTTGTAGACAACAATTATTACGAATAACAAATTCAAATATTAAAATGGTTTAATAAATTTAAAACTCAACAATTTTTTAATTTTCTTAATTGATTCATTGTTTTTGACTAATTTACTTAAAATTTCATGGTTTGTCGCTTTTATTAGAATCGCACCTGGAATGATCAGCTTCTTTTCTTAAATTCATTTTATGAAGGGTGACGTTTGACTAGCGCCTTATCAAAAGTTGACACTTTTATTTTTAATACTCATAATTATATTTATTTTATATGATTTTATTAAAACTAGTAATCACCCAATGGTCGATAGTTGATAGTCATTATTAAAAGTTTGAGAAACATAACATAGTAAAACCCGATGTTCCCGTGCCTAATAATTTTTATTCTTTTCTTAAATATTTTGTTGGGTTTTTCAAGGAAATATCAATCGCTTTCTCTTTCCACGTATTTTGTTTGTCAGGTTTAAATTGTTTCGATAAAAGTGTTAAATATTGTTGTATTTTGTATTGTTGTTGTTTCCATGAAAATTGTAATTTTTTTTGTTTTTGAGGTGAAAATATAGAAGACGTTTTTGTCAGTCTAATTTTTGAATACTTTTATACTATTTAACATCAGTATGCATTTGATCAATTCCTAACTATAGGTAATAGTTAGAAATTGCTAAAATAAGCTCAGACGTTAGGGACGTTCCACACACCAGATGTTTCACATTAGGGCTGTTTTTCGTGATATTACATTACGTAAAAGTTGAGTGGGATCGGAACTTCATCATTCTTTGTCAAACGCATTAGCATTAGGGAAAATTAAAGTATAAATAACGCGTTTGAATGTAAGAAATGAGTTAGAAGTTTTCCTGCCTTCCACAAGTTCAGTATCCAAAAATTTGCGATACTGTTGCCTATAAGGTGACTTCTTTCTATATATTCCTCGAGTATATTGGAATGTAGATCATCCAGTTACCTATAAGGTATTTTTGGAAAATTCAGTAATAGGTTTGCAGTACTGTTGCCTACAAGATAACTCCTTTAGATATATTCCTCCAATTTATCATTTTTACTTTCCTATCTGTATACAGATATAAGGAAAGTATAGGAATCATGATTTTTTTCGACCTCGAGTTTTCGACGGATTTTTACGTTTTGAGGTCCCCTGAATCCGTTTTGACTATTTTCGCGATGATGTCTGTCTGTCTGTGTGTGTGTGTGTGTGTGTGTGTGTGTGTGTGTGTGTGTGTGTGTGTGTGTGTGTGTGTGTGTGTGTGTGTGTGTGTGTGTGTGTGTGTGTGTGTGTGTGTGTGTCTGTATAACGCATAACTCATGAACCGATACACAAAAAAACACCAAATTTTAAACTTAAGCTTTGTTTCAGCGTCCAATGAGATGATTAGATTTTGGGCAGAGTCGGAACATCTGGGGGGGTACTTTATAGGTGGTCATTTTTATATTTTATGGAATATATCTGTTGTTTACGTTTGGAGAAGAAAATTCTTCAAATAAAAGTTACTTCTTATATAATTATCTATAATTTTTGTTTCATGCAAAATTTTCCTAAAATGGTCCGTATTCGAGAAATTTGACAAAATGTAAAAAAAATAATTTTTTATAAAAATTGTTCAAATAAAAGTTGTTTGTAATATAATTGTCTATAATTTTTATCCTATAAATAATTTCTCTAAAATGGACCGTATTCGAGATATTTGAGAAAATGTGTAAATTTCGAATTTTGAAGAAAACTCACAAAAAGGATAAAGGAAAAAACATTAAATTTGAACTTAAGTTTTATTTCGACCTGAGGTGAACTGATTAGATTTTGGACCGAGTCGGAACATTTAGGGGGTACTTTATTGGTGGTCATTTTTATATTTTATGGAATATATTCGTTATTTACGTTTGGGGAAGAAAATTCTTTAAATAAAAGTTACTTACAATGTTATTATCTATAATTTTTGTTCTATGTCAAATTTTCCTGAAATGGTCCGTATTCGAGAAATTTGACAAAATGTGCAAAATTCTGATTTTTAAGAAAATTGTTAATCTAAAAGTTGTTTGCGATATCGATCTCTATAATTTTTGTTTTTAAATGACTTTTCTAAAATGGACCGTAATGGAAAAATTGGAGGAAAAGTGCTAAATTAAAATTTTTCAGTATTTTCGTTTTCAATGAATATCTATAGAAAAATGTTTCGAGGTAGATGTATGTGGAAAATGTATATATTTAGTTTATCCTCTAAACATTTTTATTAGAGATGCTGCAATAGGTTAACTAGATAGGAAAGTCATGTGTTGGACACATCAGATTTTTAAACAATAGTTCAGTGCACCTACGGTTTATTCCAATTTTTGAACGCAGAACTGTATTTTTTTGTAGATTTAGATGAGTTAAAAACCAAAATCAAATATTTTGATGAAAATGCGGCTTACCTTATAAATGGCAATCTTAATATTAAGGAAGAAAATAGGCTTCCAGCTGGTACTAAAATTAAGAAAATTTACACTGATACAAATTTCGAAGAAGACTTTCCAGCATTTATTCGGGTAATAGATATGTTTGTTTTTTATTTTATACAATGCTAACAAAATCTTAACTTCGGTCCTGCTTTGTTTCTGTTAAAATGAATGGGTGTTCGCATATGCAGGAGAAGAAACGATATTTTTAACGAATATTTTTAATGAATATTTATATCAAGTATTTTTAGGGAATATTTTTTTGAATATTTTTAACGAACATTTTTAACGAATATTTTCAACGAATATTTTTAACGAACATTTTTAACTAATATTTTTAACAAATATTTTTAATGAATATTTTTAATGCTTTTAAAGGCAGTTATACAAAAAATTCTTCTTGGTAAAGAGTCTTGTATAAAGATAATATTAAGGACTAACTTTCTACTGTAAATTATACAGTCTAATGTTTCTTAATTTTTTCTAATAATTATACATACCGGGTCATTCTATATGGGCGGAACGGGTCATTCTATATGGGCGGAACACTTGATTTATGGCTTAACTATGAATTGTACGATAATTTGACTTGGATAAAAGTTTTTGTACTTTTTATGTACTATTTATTGACGTTTACAGATTTCCCGCATACGTAATGCTTTTCAACATATGACGTCATCGGGCGATATTTTAAATAAGTCTGGGATCCACTTAATGTACCATTAATGAAATCAGACAGATCATACGAACTCGAAAAAAATATAAATGCAGGGTGATCCATTTAAAATATTGCCCGATGACGTCATATTTTGAAAATCATTACGTATGCGGGAAATCTGTAAACGTTAATAAATAGTACATAAAATGTACAAAAACTTTTATCTAAGTCAAATTGTCGAACAAGTCATAGTTAAGCCATAAATCAAGTGTTCCGCCCATATAGAATGACCCGGTATAATACATATTATTAGTTACTGGATTAAAAAAGTTTATTCTAATTTTTAGTTTGTAAGTGATGCAAAATATACAACTGGTATATACAGACAAGCAGAACTACAATCCAAATATGTCAACGTTTTTCTGTATCAGTTTTCTTACGATGGAATTTTGGGTGGCATTAATAACAGTATACCAGGTGAGTTAATAAAGTTTTACTTGTGGATTTAAAGTAGTATTTATAAAGATTTAGGGGTTTTTGAATAATTTATAGAAACACTAAACTATAGCGCTCGTAACTTGAAATTATTTTTCACATGAGTAGAAAAATTAAAAAATCAGTTAAAAAGAAGAATTATAAACATATTTGTTTTAATTATGTTAAAAAATATATTTTGAGATAGTCCCCAACTAAATCCCACAATTACCCCTACGAAATAATGAAAATTATTTATGTGAAGTCGGAGTATTTATTCCCTCTAATATACAAAGTAAAATATTGACTCAGTTTACGTTGGATAACTTCGATTTTCAAGAAAAATCTAAAGATGGTAGAACTACGCATGGAACAACACATATTATATACCAGTATCTGGATGATATTGAAGATACTTTACCTGCTACTACACTCCTCCTAAAACATTCAAAAACACAACTCAAGCCTAGACAATTGTATATGAAAGATTCAAGTCTCTCTTAAGCGGAAAGAGAGAGTAATGAAAATAATAAAATAAATAAATGAAAATAATAAAAATGTGATCACCTCCATTTGGAATTTATATGTTAGCAGCTACAGAAGACGACACTGCAGCAGAAAATGTCAGTCTACTTTCATGGAGTTCCTTTTTTCAGTGCCTGTCTAACGGTATCCAAAGAAAGACAAATATTGGATATGACCCGTTTATACCTGAGTCGCTAACTAGTCCTTCTGTGGTTCTAAATTCATTAGAGTACTTTATATCTGCATCAAATTTATTACACCAACAATATGTAATAGTAACGGCCAACCAAGCAATATACGAAATAGTTCTTGCATTAAAATCAAAATATCCTGTAAAATTGGAAAGAGTAATTGTTAGAGTGGGAGGATTTCACATAATTATGAATTTTTTAGGGGCAATAGGACATTTAATGTCTGGTTCTGGCATTAAAGAGTTGTTAGCGTCTGATCGTATTTTAGTTGAGGAAACAGCAAGGAAGGTCATATCTGGTGGAAAAGATTACTATCAAATGGTAAGATGCCAAAGCTTAATCTATCTATATTTGATTTATACTGGGAAGCATTCTAAGCATATATCATTAACGAAGATGTCTCACTAGATACCACAGAAACTGAAAAAGTACAAACTTTAATGGAGTAAATATCTCGTTTGCAAAAATGTTTAAATATTTATTTCTTTTTCAAACGCATCATTATTATTGACAGAAATTCAATATACAAGAGATATATTCGAAATTACACTACAAGACAATCCAACAGTAAAACTGGAAGTTGGGAAGGATATTTATCGAGTGTAGAAAAAATGTTGCCTTACCTGGTTGTTGCTGGGCACTATAAATATGTATCCTGTATACCTCACTACTTAAAAAGTATGAAAGATTCAAAAATTACTGCTGCTTCAATCTGGAATGAATTCCAAAAGGGAAAATTTACAGTTCATTTAAAAAGGGGATATTTCAACGGAATCTGGACCGATATGGCGTTGGAACAAACATACAATAAGCAGAGCAAGACACAACTATAGTGACATAACTATGCAGTCTGAAACGATAAATAGATACCTATATGCTTTACTTATATTGACTTAATTAACTTCAGTAACATGATAGTATTAGTTTCACATTAAAGGAATTACAAGCGAGGGAGAGTTTAAAACAGATAATACGTCAAATAATAAATCCATTTGAATTTGCAACAAGTGATTTATTAAGTATCTTTTCGGGACATAAATGTATCTCCACGGAATTGAGTAATGCAAAACAAATCAGTTTAAACATCCTAAATAAGGCAGAAAAAGATAACTGTCATAAAATACCGTCAGTCAAAATCAAAGACATTACAACATATCGCCGTTCCGGTAAAACAATGACGCAAGTGCAAAATTGTGACATTTTGATTTTAACATGTCATTAGTTTCCAAATTAGTCTCTCTATACGGTATAACAACGGCGAAATTTTTTATCCACTCCCGGCCATCTAAATGGTAGTTACTTCAATTTTCAAATATTAATGTTTGCCCCTCCACTTTTGAAAAACAATGACATATGAATCAGTTGTGTCTGCAAATTTAAGGGAGACATTACTTAGTCTATGGTTAAATGTTGTATTTGCTATTTAGGACAAGTTCTTTGTGATTTATGTGCTCAAATTTGGAAGTAATAATATTCGTTTTTCGTCTCTCCTGAAAAATTTATAATTTTGCATTTGCGTCGTTGTTTTACCGGAACAGCGATATATAAAACATATATACAACATAGACAAAATGTTTCATTCATAAATCCCATACACATACTTTGATTACTATACGAGGCAAGAGAGAGGTCCGACCAATAACATATATAGATTAATAGACTGCTCATCCATATATAAACAAGACGACGAAAAGCGGGTCATATTCAATGACATATATAGTTTAAATAGACTGCTTATCCATACGTAAATAAAACGATGAAAAGCGGGTCGAACTGGAAGATGTTTTCTCTTTGTCTAGTGCATGCAATGTTTGTGTTTTGTCTCAATTTTGAGTGCTCACTGGTAAACAAAACTTTCACAGGACCGGTTTTAAAGAAAGTTTAGTCTAGTTGAGATTTTGTTCTCATTGTCATTACTCAGTCGGACATTTTGTTGAATTGTTCATTTTATTTAATTTTAATTATACTTATGTCCTGTTTTTAATTATTTTTTTATTATTTGAGTATAAAAACTTGTTTTGTTTTTAAATTTAAGTGGTTAATTCTAGCTCTGGCAATTTTGGCATTAAGTAAAGCCTCTTGATGGCTGAACTGATTTTTTTTATTGAGGAAAGGAGGCTGTATAATTTGTATACCTTCAGCTTCTGTTATGTTTCCAATAAGAAAACCTTTGTTAAACATTTTACTATCGAGAAATGATTCACACACTTCAAGTATTGAACTTTGTTAAAAAATGTCTATTTCTGAAGTTTACCACCATATGCTTCACTTTTATAAGTAATGAGACCAGTAGGTGACACTCCAGTCAATATTTTAATAGTATGCCTCTTTTTGTAGTCAGAGTAATTTTTTAGCCTACAACAAAGACACTTGCCTTGCTGTATTGGGATTTCGGTACAATCAAGTAGTACTCTTACTTACATAGACGCACATATTTTAATATTTCTTGTTTTGAAGGCCGAATTATACCATACTAAGAACTTCTACCAGTTTTATTAAAAAATGTTAAAAAATTTAATGATAAAATGTTTCATTCACTCCAAATAAAATGGATAAGACATTATATCTTGCATATCAGTTTTCAACTTCATAAAAGTAAATATAACTTGATCCTTTACAGACATAACTGATTTCCTTTTTCCTATTCTTTAGAAACAACGAATTCCACAATGGTGGCTAATAACTGGAAGGATTGCAATTCTATTAAAGTAGATAGGTAGTTCTTTAGCACTGACAATTCTGTTTGAAAACGGATCAACTAAATCACCACTCTTCACTTGTGTTGAACAATCGATCCCAATTTTCTGCTTTTAAACGAAGTTTTGTAAATTAAGCAAAGCTCTTCAGCAGCACACAAATCTTCATTATCTGCTTCAGTAGTAGATATATGTTCATTAACTGCAAAAACACATTAAACATAATAATAATTAACCAAACATTTTAAATTATGCATACGTACATCCATTGCCTGAAGAAGATAACTCAACACTTAACATTCTACTAGTACTGGCAACATATCATTATTTAAAGACAGTAGCTATAATTCTTGTTTTATCTGGATTACTTTTCTTTTTATTAATAGTCGCTTTCTTTTTACCACTAATCTGAGCTAACTTACATCGACTAAGCTTAGTTGTACGTTCTTTTTGTGATTGTAAGTCAGAATCTTTCTTTCCCCCTTACCGATGCTAAACGGATCTTGACGTCAACTAAGATTGCACTTTGTACCTAGTTCATTTTGCTATGATGTTGATCAGATTTCCACTGGTGGAATCTTATTATTATTCATCAAATCATTCACATTCACCGCCAAAATAATCCTTAATTGTCTAAAGGGAACAAATTTTAGAATGTGAAAAAGCTACTAACTTTTAGTAAAATCTTTAAAAAGTTCATTCAATTTTTGCATATCTGCTTTTATAATGCGAAATAAATTTTAAAAGAATAATCAAGTGTCCAAATAGTGCCACTATACAGTGGTCGTAATCTAAAGTTAATTATATACACATGAGTGTAAAATTGTTTATATCTATCTTCAAAATTGGTTAGATCTCTTAAAATGTTTTGAAAATTGGGAAACTAGACGTTATGACTCAAAATCATTTTTTAAAATATCTAGCGCAAGTCCTGTCTTGAAATAAACATACAGATAATTTTTTTTTTAATTCTATTCCTACTTTGATGAAATATAAGTTTTAAACTCATTTGGGCCAGACCGATTCTGCCTGGTGAGCACTTGGCAAGCCAAGCAATATGACCCGCTTTTCGTCGTCTTGTTTATGTATGGATGAGCAGTCTATTAATCTATATATGTCATTGGTCATATTGCTTGGCTTGCCGAGTGCTCACCAGGCAGAATCGGTCTGGCCCAAATGACTTTAAAACTCATATTTCATCAAAGTAGGAATTGAAATAAAAAAAAATTATCTGTATGTTTATTTCAAGACAGGAGCTTGCGGTAGGTATTTTAAAAAAGGATTTTGAGTCGTAACGACTAGTTTCCCAATTTTCAAAACATTTTACTAGATCTAACCAATTTTGAACATAGATATAAACAATTTTACACTCATGTGTATATAACTAACTTTAGACCACGACTACTGTATAGTGGCACTATTCGGACACTTGATTATTCTTTTAAAATTTATTTCGCATTATAAAAGCAGATATTATGCAAAAATTGAATGAACTTTTTAAAGATTTTACTAAAAGTTAGTAGCATTTTCACATTCTAAAGTGTGTTCCCTTTAGACCATTAAGGATTATTTTGTCGGTGAATGTGAATGA